GGGCATGGGGTAAACGCTGCAGGAAGCAGTGTTTTGGGGGAGATGCTGCACACGCGCACGTACAGTCTGGCAGGAAGAAAGTATCTGTACCTTCGTATCTCTTTTAAACTCTCTCGGACTGAGAGAGGATGTTTACTGAGTTAATTGGCAGGCTGGAGAGCTTTTACAGCTTTGAAGTCAGCAGGGCAAGCATGCAGCTGGTTTCCTGCTACCGAGCAGGGCCTGTAGGCAGGAGGGCTGGGATGTGTCTGCCCGGAAAGCCAAGCCAGCGGCAGCAAAGCAGCTCAACCCCGTGCTGACGCAGCTGCTCCCTGCACCCTGGGCAGACTCAGCATTCGGGCAAGTGGTGCCTGCAGGCTGAGCCCACGCTGACCACCAGCCCCCGATGCCACAACGCAGCCACACGCAGCTCCGTCCCCGCAGCTCGGGGGCTCAGCATGGCCCCACGCGAGCCAGTTGGTCCCAAAGCTGTGCTTGCTGCTGTAAGCAGCAAAGCGACACGAGTGTGTCCCTGTTCCTGGCGCAAGGTGCGTCAAGAAATCCTGGATAAACAGCACAAAAAGCAGCTCATCCCCTACCACTGTGCTGGCTGCGGCCGACTGCACCCAAGGGTGAAGGGCAACAAGGACCAGGGGAACCTAGTGCTGCCTTTCCCGGTGGTTTGACCATGCCTTGCAGGTGATGGCAGGAGCAGCACCCCAGGAGAGACATGTTTCCTCCAGCACCACCAGCAGCCCCCATCACAGTCCCTCTGCTCAGGAGCCAATGCCACCTCACCAGCCAGTGAGACGTCTGAACTCGCCAGCTAAACACACCTTCAGCTTTAATAAAATACCTCTTGTTTACAGACACACCCATATGTATACGTGCATACAGATACACATTATATACGTATACATACATGTGCGTATGCACACCCCACGCTGCGTCACACAGCACCTGTGTCCTTAACACCTCAGGGCTGGGGGAGCTCCCGCAAGCCGGTGCTTTACCTCCAAATCACAGTGCCTGCCTGTTCCTGTAACAGCTGCCCCACCAGCAGCCCCCGCACACCCATGGGTGAGCACCCTGCTCCCGGCACTGCAGGGGAGCACAGGGTCTTCACCCCGTTGCCGCTGGGTCCCAGGCTGATGACCCCAACCCGTGGGCACCGGAGGGACGGCAGGAG